TCATACCAGAGTAGAAGAGAATCGTTAGCAATAGGTTTTCGTTCATTTTAACTCATTTTTCGCGTAAACTGTTAACTTTTGGACAATAAACCGAAAGGTCTGGTTTTAAATACTACAAAAATCAAAATCTACAAAACTGGGCTTTTGTAGTTCAAATCTTTCAAACATATTTCTCAAAAAACAATACCCGTAGAAGATGACAAATTTAAGTTATGCATAGGCATAAAACTCTGTTAGTAAACCACTTAAAATATGAAGCAAATGCTTGCTGGGCGAAACAGACCATGGCATTTGTGAAGCTTTTAACACCTTAAACAATGCAACAATAAACACCTATGACAAAAGGTTCGGTTTATTTTTGATTATTTACTGAGCGTCTTTGAAGCAAATCAGCAGATATACATTAAAACAGATGCTAAAGTGGGCAGGAACGCGGAAAATGGGTTCGAATGTTGAAGTGGTGCTCTGGAAACTGGCTTGGAATGTGCATTAGTCAGCTGTGGATTAGTTTGTTTAACGGTACCATTCGGTACCGATGTTTGTTTACTTTTTCTCAATGAAATTCGATACGTGACTTAAGATGTACAGAGGCTGAAGTGTTAATTTGTCTATGCCTGTCCGAAATAAATTATTACATCATTTTAAGTGCATTCGCTCTTTTAGCAATTGATTTATTTATTTAACCGGCAAATTAATCAAATCCTTAGAAATTGCCTAAACGTGGAAAAATGTGGAATAAAAGAGTACTTTGTGCAAGAGCTACAAATTTCCGAAATAAGATGTTACTAAAGCGTCCTAAAGAGACAAAATGGTGGAAGTTATTGGCAGATTTCCGATCTCCGATTTCCGATCTCTGGTTTCCTGTGTTGATGATAAATTTTTCCAAAAAATACAACAAACGATCATGTTTTGAACTGTATCACGAAGTAGCAAACGATTCCACACATATAAATTGGCATTTTTTCAATTGCTCAAAGTTGCTCAACAAAATGAACCGACATTGTCTCTATGGAGGAAACTAAAAAAGCAACAAATCTAGATATTTTTTTTCAATTTTCTAGTGGTTCTTGCGGTTCTGCCAATTTTTGATTTGTAAAATTATGCAAATAGTCCAATACACTACAAATACACAAATATTTTCTACCTTCGACTGTGATTATTTTCGCAATCGGGCATCCGATTTGAACAGTTTCTTTTCACCAATCAAAGCTCTATTTAAGGAGAAAATGTCAGTGATAACATGGGCAAGAAAATGAATGAACGTATTATACAGTGCATTGGTCAAAGTCTAGATCCGTGTCCGCTCAACATTGGGTAGCTCAGAGAGAAAAAAGTATACGTTGTTATAACCCGATAACTTCTAAGTAATTTGAATGTTTAATAGTCTGTGTATCCGGAGCCACTCGAGACAAATAAATTTTTTATGCCCTATCGCTTGTTCAGGACCAAATTTACTTGAACTATTTTTGTGATTGCGAAGAAAATATTCACAGGAAAAAGGTTTCAACGCACTGTAAATTAACTAAATAAACTAAACTCTTTTAAGACAACTACTCTTGAAAAAACAAAACAGTGATTTCATCATCATCTACTTCATTCTAGAACAGGTAGATTCACTGTTCTTGTTCTACGATCAGAAGCTCCTTAAAATATCCCTTCCATTCTTCAATTAGGTCTTTCTCATTTATTCTCAAGATTCTTTGATCATTTTTGATCGTCGGGAATGATCTGGAGCCGTTCCTAGCACTGTCTCGCTCTGTTGCTTCACTCTTTTGCCGTTATTAATCTCTTTTCTTCGCTCTTTTTCTCGCTAGTTTTCTGGTTTCCTTGCAGCAATCCGCGTGTTTCCTTCTCCTTTGATTGATCTGGACTTGCATCATTTGCTTCCTTGTTGTTTGTCTTTCTCCCAGCTGGTTCCTCGTCAAACCATGTTATTTGCCCTCTTTATTTCACATTTTCTGCTGTCCTTGCGATTAGTTCTGCGTTCTGCGCTCTGCGTGTATTTCAGCGTTTAAAAAACAGTGATTTGCTTGAAAATACGAAACAAGCAAGCATTCATTGCCTCCAACTGAAATGTTCGGTATCATTCAAGTTATTTTAGGCTCTTTAAATTATAGAAGGTCAAAGAAGATACTGGTTGTAACAAGCGTGGAGGTTCCCGGAAAGCTCATAATCTTTTACGAGCCAAATGCTTTTAATTTCTGTATAAAAGCGCAATCTGCGCCATGTGTTCTTTATGGCTGAACGGAATTTACATGGCGTCAATGTTTATTCGAACACCGACGGAACTTGTCAGCGGTCGTAGTTAAATATTCACTTTATGAAAATAAATAAAGATGTTCCAGAGGGCTCATATACCAGGAAGCGTATAAAAGTAGCCAAATTGGCCGACGGATTCGAAAATTCCTTTTAACCTTGTGGCTTTGCGCAAATGAATGGGCTTCATTAACGCCGAAGAAATACCCACCTAGACTTTGTTTATGGGTTTTTAACACTTTGACAGCTTAAAAGTGGCCTTTAATAAGGTATTTTGGCGATCCTAACCATAAAGTCCCGTAAACCAATCGAGTTTTTATTGGGTAATTAAACGGCCCCAGCTTTGGACATAATAGGTGATCAAGGGGATATTGATACATTTCATCAATACCTGCTTGATTAGATCAACACGAATTCGACGGCGGCAGCAATATGCTCGGCCTATGGGCTATGGGGCTTTACATACAATTTCTCTTTTACAATGCCATAAATTTTCCCAAGCTTCCCGAAAAGATGATCTATGCCCTATCTGAAAGATTACAAGATCTGCGAGGCTCCGAGACACAAAAATCCGTAACACCGCGAATGTAGCCGGTAGGAAAAAGTTATTTGAAAGTTTCCGAACTAAGTTTAGATTGTGGGGAACAAGCCAGTGGGTAACGAATGTAGAGAAAATTAAGAAATATATGGGAACTATGTAATAAAGTTATGAAACTCGCTCCCAGGTTTGGGAGCGGTTATGTGTTTCAATAGCATAGGCGTACTTGCCCTCAAGTTTCAATTTATTCAAATAGTTCAATTCGAGACAAAAATTTTGATTCAATCAAGTCTATATTGTCAGAGTTGTTTCCATAGGTTTTGCAGTATTAATCATGGAAATCGTAGAAAATTTTAAGTAGGTATTCACAGAAATACAGAGATTGGATTGGAAACTGGAATATTCCTGAGACTGCACCAAATCTCCCATCTTAATTTGCTTGCTAATAGTCGCGAAGGTTCACCTGAACGGTGTTTTCTTGTAAATCATTATTCCACATTCAGATATTTTGACTTTGAGGTTATCGCATTCATTGTCCTTTGGCCCCATGGAAGTCTAAATTGTGTAGATGATCATATTACCTTTTTTGGTAAGGCAACATTAATCTTGTTTTTATCACATAACGATCTGCAATGAGAAGACTGGGATGATTGTGTCATAAATCCGGTATGTCCAAAAAGTTAGATTTTTCAGAAGACAAGTAAAAAAGTTTTGAACTTACAAAAATGGTTACTTGCAAAAGAAGAAAATTGGTTTAATTTTTAATTAATTTTTCCATTTTTGTAGATCTAATATGTTTGCCTAATCTAATAGATTACGTTTTAAATTGTTCAGCATGTTCCAGTTTAAATTCAATCGAACTTCAGATTTATATTTTAGGGCTCGTATATTCTGAACAGTTGGATCGCCTATTTTGCGTTCAGGGCGGATTGAACCAACAAAACTAAGCTTACAGAGATTTTTAAAATTATTATGTTGCAGATGTAGATGTTGAACCTCAGTTTTTTTCTCAGCCAACACAAACATAATCTACTACCACGTTTGTGACGTTTTTTTTTTCAAATCTTTTTATTTGAATACGAATTTTTTTAGGTTCTTTAGCTTGAGGTATAATTTTGTTTCGATACATTAGGGTCGCTTTGACTTCGGGCGCGGACTCGATTCACTCGACAAAAATTGCGGTCGTTTTAAAAGTTGGCATGTGTTTTTTGGCGAAAAAACCCACTATACTCGAAAATGCAATAGGCTGGTTTCACACCCTTCGCAATTAGCCGAAACCGGAACCAATCTGCCCTAGATTTATTTGCCGATATTTTTCTCCTATCTGGAATGGTTCATCCAAAAGTTACTGTCGAAGCGAACAAGGTTAGTTGCATTTTTAAAGCGAAATTTACGGTATGCGATAAATCAGGGCTGTATTTGCCCCACGTCCATTTACCGCCCTTGTAAACATATTGACAGAGCTTTGATTTATGTGGAGGAGTTCGATTAATGGACACTTTTTGTTCAGCTGCCAACAGAGTTTCGCCCGTTTGATTGGGGCGGTCATCGGTTCACCTCAAAATGTAATTGTGTTTACTATGTTTTCATTTGGGAACCAAACAGTCAAAAATGGGTTGGACTAAGTTTCATTTTCCTTCTTGAACATAAAAAAATCTATTCCTCCCACTGTAGGGGGCATCAAATCCAGAAATATGCACATCGTTTAACCAGGTCATATTTTTTCCATTTTATAAACTCCATATTCGCAACAAGGAGACCCTGCCGACATAAAATATCTATCTCAATCTTGCCTGAAGCAGTTTACTCGAGCCTTGACAAATGTTGGCAAGGAAAAAGTGTAAGGCAACATTTTCGGTATCAAGTAACGAGACGAGATATAATAAATGACGTGTCATCTGCATAACTGATGTCTCGATATACGGTAATCGTTTTGCGTCATCGGTGAAACGATTTTTCGGGCTTCCAAAGAGGGATGTTCCTGATAGCGAAAAGTTTTTGGGGGTTGGGCCAGCTGATTTTGCCATTTGATTTGTTCCATCTCAAACAGTAAACTTCTATTTTTTGTACAATGAAAGTTTATAAAAAGTAATCAGTAATTTTATATGGGACACTATTCAAACTTGTTCTATCGATTCGTGTTGCCAAGTATTGCATACATTTTTTAGTGGCAAACTGAGACATATAAAAACATGCGTGAACTTACCCTTAAGCGAATGATGCAGCTTGCTTAAAGTTGTAGAGAAAGTAGAGAAGAACTTAGGGATACATTCTGAAGCAAACGAAACAGATTTTTTTGGCTGCCAATGAATCTTCATATTGCCGTTCGAACCGGCCAGGATCATCTTACACACACAGAGCAAAGCTAAAATAAATTATCCTCTATCCTCAAAATTCTTAATTAAAAACGGTGAATAGTTTTTGGAAAACTTAATAAAAATAAATTTCGTAGTTTTGAGGCGGCTGAAATATTGCAGCCGTTTCGAAACGTGCAGCGAATAATTTACTCTTTTTCCAGAAAAAGATGTTTTGAAATTAAGCCGGCTAAATTAAACTCGCTTTAGAAAAGTTTGACTTTTATGTAGCCGAGATTGCAAATTGTTTTTGCGTTTGCCGGCTAAATCCGTTCGTAATTGTTTACTTTTGCCGGCGTCGGAAATGAATGTTCTGAGCAGGAAATTATTGATTTTAGCAGTAGGACGTGTGTCATTAGTTATGTAAATGTTTTCGGTAATAACACTGACAGAAAACCGTCCCAAAGCCAATAAAAGTGATCAGAAAAGTAACCAAGCACGTTCCGCGGTCGGAGAAGGAGCCTCAGCCGCGCTGTGATCCCATAAGAATATTAATTTGTCTTAATTTGTCCGCTCGAGACCGTCGATAGATTTGAAATGGCTTCTTTAATTCTCAATAAATAGTCGGCTTATGTGGACCGAGGCGATATAAAAATATTCCCTTCTTCCTATTACACGTGAAGAGAATTCTTTATCAAAACGCTTTTCGGCTTTGTGTTTGCGTAGAATAGAGAAACGTAATTTGGGCATCCGGTGTTAGACTAACGATGAATTAATACCGTTGGACGGTTAATTTATTAAGCAGTAAGAAGCTTACCTTTCGGAATTATGAGGCTAAATGGAGTAATTTGCTTTTCACTGCTTTTTTATACTTATTTCGTTAAGTACAATTAAATTGCACGGAAAGGTTGTTAGCATAAAATGGTAACCACTTTCCAGGACGTAAACACAAGACTGGCGTAATTAGGTAGGTAAGTGCGAGATTTCCACAAAATGCTTAAAAGTCAGAGTTTTAAGTTTGTCTGTTACAAGCTGCTGCGAATTAGATGCTCGAACGATTTTAATTAGAAAACTGCACTAATTGCGCACCAGACTGGCGGCTTTAGTTTATTTTTCTATCACCACTTTAGCGCAATGAAATAGTCGCACTTAAAATGTGATACTAATTTTTTCACAGACTGTTTAGGCAAATTTTTTTATCCCGAAGTTGTTAGTTTTTGTGGTCCAAGGTTTCACAAGATTTGTCAAATTTGCGTTTTTTTATAATGCCTGGCCGAATTAAATTATTACATCATTTTAAGTGCATCAAGAGCAACAAATGTTCACAATAAGATGTTACTAAAGCGTCCTAAAAAGGCATAATGCTGGAAGTCATTGGCAGATTTCCAAAATGTCTGGTTCCCTGTACTACTGTAAGATCTTTCCAAAAAATACAACAAACGATCATGTTTTGAACAGTTAGAATGTCACGAAGTAGTAAACGTCTCCACACATAAAAATTTACATTTTTTCAGTTGCCCAAAGTGGCTTAAGAAAGTGAACCAACATTGTATCTATGGATAAAACTAAAAAAGCAACAATTCTAGTGGTTCTTGCGGTTCTGCCAATTTTCTATTTGTAAAATTATGCAAATAGTCTTATACACTGCAAATACACAAATATTTTCTAACTTCGACTGTGAATATTTTCTCAATTGGGTATCCAATCCTGGAGGAATGAAACAGTTTTTTTCACCAGTCAAATCTCTATTTGTGGAGAAATTTTATATTTAACTATTTCAGATATAATATGGACAACCAAATTGTACAGGCTGATTAAACAGTGTCTTGGTCAAAGTCTGCATTCGTGTTCGCCCGACGGGTAGCTCAGAGAGAAAAAAATATACGTTGTTATAACCTGATAACTTCTGAGTAATTTGGATGTTTAATAGTCTGTGTATCTGGAGCCACTCGAGACAAATAAATTTTTTAAGACCTATCGCTTGTTCAGGACCAAATTTCCTTGAACTTTTCTTGTGGTTGCGAAGAAAATATTCACCGGAAAAAGTTGCGACGCAGTGTAATTAAATAAATAAACAAACTAAACCCTTTTAAGACAAAACTACTGATTACAAAACAAAACAGTGATTTGTTCATCACCTACCTTCTTCTAGAACGGGTAGATTCACTGTTCTTGTAATACGATCAGAAGCTCCTTAAAATATCCCTACCATTCATCAATTAGCTCTTTCTCATTTATTCTCATGTGTCTTTGATCATTTTTGATCATCGAGGCGGACCGAGAAAACCTCTTTCTCCTAGGAAATTGCCTCTCAGAATGATACGGTTCAGAAATACCTACCCTGTTCTTCCTGAGGCAAAACTAAAACAACAAATTAGGACTTTTCAACTAGTTAACATTGTGATTAGCAAGGAAATATATAACTCCAGTCTGGCAATGGTTGAATCAAATAAAGCAATGAGACAATAAAAAAATATAATTTTTCGGTCGACCCTACAATAAGTGCTGAGGTTGTTTAAAACGGTGCCGCTCATTTCCCATAACGAATGATCAATAACTTCAAATACCGATCAAATGGCCCAAAACCAAAAGTCATTATGCATGTTCTTTCGAATTTTTTTGACACTTCTGTAAAATATCCCATTAGATTTCGTTCTGTATGGTATACAAATTGTGTTTTCTTCGACACCTTTCGTTTGACCTATTCAGCGAGGACAATACGCACCATAAGGACCTATTGATCAATTTGGGAAACACCTTTTAAGCGCTTTCGGTGTCATTCTGCAATTTGTGAAGGTTTTTGTGCTCTGGCTGCTTCACGCTGAGAGGGTTTCTTAAAAACTAATTTTATTTAGTTTATGTCTTTAAGAATGAACGCGAGACGATCGGTAACAATGGGCATCGTGCCTTTAAAATCGTTTCTTCTGCATTCTGGGGAGCATTTCAGCACGCATCTGCTGGTCATTGGCAGATTTATTTTGATTTTTAACAAAGCTGAGACAATCAAATTATTTTAAATTATATGTGGAATAATAATAATAGAACAACTAGAGGCTATTCCGGGCTAGGAATGATGGGACAGAATCCGAAACAATGGGCACGATGCCAGACAAGAGGGATTTGTTCTGGAATTTGGTGGTTTTCCGAAGCTCAAGCACTTTATTGATGTCACAAGCTATTCATCGTATAAATGTATACAAGTGATAAATCTTTGGGGATTTATTAATGAGCTTATGTGGCTCGGTTTACAAAATTTAGGAAGCAATTTTCCCCAGTAAATTATTGGAATTTTTCGAACACAAAAAGACACATTCCTGTAATCATTCGACTGCTACATTTGCATCTCATCAAAACTTTTTCTTCGAGTAAAGTTGGATTCGAATTCTCAAAATTGCCTGATGCGATTAATTCAGTGAAGTTCTACTTTTTCAATCATTTCTCCTACACCGCTAATTTAAAATCAATCAGAAATTCACTAATTTCGAACAGTCAACAGAGAAATCTATTATTAACAACCGGAAAGCGAACCAAATTAAACAACAATTAAATATCGAAACGGTGCATTCATTGATAAAACCAACCGGCCGATAATTTGATATTCTGGTTGGATTATTGTTATTCAACACATTATTGTCGCAACAAGAATGGCGAGTGAGTGCGTAATTGATACATCGGCCTATTCTTTAGGTGCCGACAGGAAATGTGTGAACATAAATTGATTACAAATTATTTTAAAAGTGACAACAGAAAATCGACAAATGAGGATTTTTAATTATACATTCTGCTAGCAAATTGATGACAACAAAGAGTGAGAGGCATTTAACTTGCAAAGTTGTAATCAAGAGAATTTGCAAAATTATTCTCCAACCTTCATCTCCCATCAGATCTTCTGTTCGTTTTAACATCAGATTTTTCTCTGTGAAACCGATCTCAGAACTTTAAAAAAACGATTAAGTCGACTTTTCAACTAACCAACCTTGTTCAGCCACATGCAACCTTTCAGCTCCATTTTAAATAAAACGCTTTGAATAGTAATAAATATTTTTATTTAATTTTGTTACTAGTTTGAAGCTTTAAATCCTATATACAATTTATTATAATAGTGCTTTGGATTTCATCAAAATATATTTCTAAATTATTTATAACTTTATGTACACTATACAGCCTAATAATAGGAATCGTTTTCTGGTTTTCCGGCGCATTTAACTCAAAAGTTTCGGAAAGTTTAAATGAGTTTAAATATTGGAACACTGAGTTCCTATAAATACAACTAGCTCACAACCTGTTTCTTTGAAATAAAGCCCACTTTTTCTATCTAAAGCTACAACAATAACACACTTTTTTACTGAAGAAGTATTCAAACAGAATCGTCTTAATATTAATAAAATTCCTTTATTCTAGCGAAGACTAGATACCTACTATATTTAAGCTCAAAAATTGATAGGAAGTATTCTAAAAGACATTAATATACATTTTTAAACGTTAAAATTCATTACAATTAATCAGTCCGTTTCATACATATTAACATCTATCTATCATACAAGAATACTTTAGAATTATTCACAAAATCTTATATCACATCCACTTCAGCTACCAAGCAAGAATGTCAACGAGACTCTTCAGCTTGATACCTGCCTGCTTGAAAACTGTCTAGAAATTTTGGACTTTGCTATTTTAAATGGAAAAGCTTTAAAAAATTATTAATTACACAACTTGTTTTGGATGCCATTAAAAGTTGAAACTAGTATACGATCGTGGGTCGAGGTTCAAGCCTGCGGGGGTTCGAACTGCTCCTCTGAACCCTCCTGCTGCTCGTTCGGGGCATGCTGGAACAAAAAAAAACACAATAGAATAGTTTGTAAATATTAGCAAATTATTTTTTTGCTGAAAACGTGCCCACAAAATTTCGTTCCCGAATTGATTGAAAAAACCTCCGCTTTGTCCCAGTTTGTGATCATTCCAGCAGTTTGAATGTTTGCGGCAAATATAAACCCGGGGGTCATTTATCAAACTTAGTGTCACGAGTTCTATGAGTTTTTACGGTCTTACCTACTTTTGTGGGGGATCTTTTTCAGTTTAGGGTTTTGTTTGTAGCGGATTATCTCCATTTTAATGGTAAACCTCGCGACAAACACCAACTTTTATACATTTTTTTGCGGTCGGCAGCAAATATTTGCTGTGAGGGTGATTCTTGAATAAAATTAATTAATCTTGCTCAACTTGGAATATGACGATTGATTTGAAAGTGTGGCATGATTTTCAACAGTTTTGGGGCTAGAGAAAATGGAACTTTGGTTCTTGTAAAATGGTGAATTTTCTTTAGCCGATTGTCGCCTTTTTTTCTACTAAGCGTTTTCTCTGATGTTTTTTTTGCAACCAAACTTTTGCTTATAGCAATTCACTTTTGCTAAACTTTGATAGTTAGTTTCCTTTGGTGCAGTTTGCCTGCTAACCTCACGTGGCCCAAACTGTTCAACAACTTTATAACAGCAAAGTGAACAGGAGCTAATTGTTTTCCATAAGTTTTACTATTAGTTTCTGCACATCCCTAGTGCATGTGGGTTTGAAAGACAAATTAAGCCGAGATGTCATGTACTTCCGAATATAAGAGTCAATTTCCAGATACATCCAGTGAGCATTAATCACACCATTCCAAAAAATGGTGCACGATGCTTCTACCTACCGTATAAACATCGCAATTTGTTGCATGAAAAATGTCTCCAGTCTAGTAACTAAAACGTTGCAGCCTTTTTTTTATTTGGCTGGAGCGCTGAGTTCTTTATATGATTGATGACCTGATGACTGGGTGAATGTTTCGCCACATTATTAATGTAACAGAAAAGGATAGAGTTAATCTTTAAATCCCATTTTAAAATTTATCGCCTGCACAGCGGGACGTGATAGAAACGTTTATTTTTCATTCCATGGCGTTCGATTAGCTGGTGAAGAAAAACGTTCGTTTTTCGTTAGTCGTTCTACACATTGGATGGCCACATGGATTGGTGGGGGAAAATCTAAATTTTCCAATAATAAACCTTAATCTGTTTGGTTTTGTAGGCGCTTCCATTAAAATCAACTCTTTGGAGAAGTTTTCTGCTCTAAGAACTCTTAAGGAAAACATTTGTGTTTTTCGCAATGAGGCTCGTAAAAATGTTGTTGCAACTTTCATATAAAATACACTAGTTCTGTGAAGACTCCCGGAAGCCAAGAGACATCAGGTTAATTTCCGGAAGCAATGAATGAGTGAAAAGTACAGAATTGCATGAAAAGGACCTAAATACTTCAATGGAGGTGCAAAGGGTTGCAAGGAGAAACTGGGATGTTATATTTGCTCCTCTTTTGGCTAGTTTTTAATGGGGATTTTGACTCTGAAAATGTACATTCCTTGCATTATGCAGCACTTTTTGCAAAAAGTATTTTTTGGACTCTATTACTGAACAACGATATCAACTTTTTCTGCTTAAAACATCCGCAAATGGCCAAATCGTCTGTAGAAGCAAACAGTAGGTACCAAGCAAACAATTTACCATATTTCAGACTATAATCTCTCATGATACTCATGATACACTCAAATACTCATGATAATTCGTTTAATTTTACTTCTGCGCTGCTCAATTACATGCAGTTGCACAAACATCAAGCTCCATTCGAGCTGAAGAATTCTCAAAAATATTTCAGTTTACCAAATCAGCTTGCAAGCGGGTAAATAATTGAGCAGTTGACGCCACAAATTCCACGATTATCCCTAAACAAAATCCGCTGGCGGTTGGTTGGTTTCGGGGTGTTAACTTGAAAATGATGAAGAAGGTGAGCTCAATAGGTACCGATGACTGAAAGCACCTGGTGCTGTTTTTTTTAATGAAACGAGCAGCTGGCAGGTAGGCTGGCGAGCGCCAGGTAAATTCGCAAAAGGCAAAAGTGGTTTTTTGGTCTAGAAAAAAATGCGCTGTTGTGATACCATATCGAAATTAATGGGTTTGCTGGGAATTATTAGCAGCGTCATGCCAAACGGACATGTGTTGTGCTGTTGTGGCTTAATCACCGCCTAATTTATCAGTGTTGCTCGATTTTGAAGTTTTTTTTTTATAAAATTGCCTGATGATGGTCGAGTTGTGAAACTTTCCGAATTAGTGACGCCAAGTCTGATCTTTCTAGGACAAAAATTGCCAATTGCTCATCTTTTGCAGTCTAAAATTTGTTGACTGAATTCTGAACGTTTGTCTGCATACTCCTGCAGCTCGCTTTCATAAAAATCACTCGATTTTGAATTTTTTCGTAAACTCTCTGACAATGGTCGGACTAGAAAATTTTTTGAATTTGTATTGGAGAATCTGCCCTTCCTAGGTCAAAAATCGTCAGATGTTCATTCGTTGCCTTTAAAAACTCGCGAATTGGTTTTTTAACGTTTGTTTTTCTAAAGTTCGCCAAATCGTTTTTAAAAATATTGCTCGATTTAGGAATTTTTGGTGAAAATTCCTGATGATGGTGGCGTTGTGAAACTGTCAGTATTAGTGACGCAAAGCTTGACCTTTCTCGAGCAAAACTTAATCAATTTTTGAAATTTTGTCGTAAATTTCGTCAACTTGTTTCCATAAAATTTACTCAATTTTGAATTTTTTTCTTAAGCTTCCTGATTAGCCCGGATTGTCAATTTTTTGCAATTAGTGGAGAAAAAGATGCCCTTTCTAGAAGAAAAATCCTCAGTTGTCTATCCCATGCGGTTAAAAATTAATTAATGGCTTTTTGAACGTTTTGTTTATTATTAAATGAGTGTCACCAGTTGAACATGTTTTGGGGTTTTTCACAACTAAAACCGTTTTCTTTAGAAGAAATATTTGTTTAAATTGAGATAATTTAAGCAAACAGTTCAACAGTTTAAAAGAAACAGATGCAGATAAACAGTGGTCAAATTGAACAAATGATCGATGAAGCAAAAAAAGTGTAAATCAGACTACGAAAGCAACCAAATCCAAGACAGAAAAATCATCAAATGAGGTGCTCAAGAATAAATACAAGTGGAAATTGACTGATAGAAGAAGTAGAACTGGACAAAAAGTTGCAAGTGGGGGCTGCAGCATTGTTAAAATTTTAGCTTCAAACGTTGTTATAACTTTGTTTAATTTTTCCATTCTTGGAATTCATAAAGAAATTATTTGATACTCTTAAGATTCTGTTCATTCGTGATTTGTTCTCCTGCTTTTTTCCTTTTTAACAAGTGTCTAAAGCTTCAGCAAAAGTTGAAAAAATGCTAAATTCCGAAAACTGCTTTTGGAAAGTAATTCAAAATAAACTTATCATGCGTAGTATTGTACAGAAAAATCAAGTGACTATTTTTCAGTTTTCAGGATAAATTGCAACATAATATAAAACAAAAATAAAAAGTGCTAAAAGCAAAAAAAAAACAAAAAATACAGAAACTAAAACCAATAATCAATTACCCTATTGACGTACAGTATTATTTTTGGGAACAATGCCTTTCGTCACTCGATTCAAACCTGCCAACCAAATGTTATTCAAATGATTACATGCATTTTGAATCAAACAATTAAACTGCTGACGAAATATTTACCAAAAAAAAGCAGACGGAAAATAATTTGTTGCCGTATCCTATCGGTCAAAAGCGTAATTTCATTTCGTGTTTTTTTATTTTTTGGATACAATGAATGCATATATACACGGCCCTATCATTCCATACGATTCTGGCTTTGAATAAAGGGGTTTGTCATTACGAAACGAGGGTGTATGATATACAAATTACACTAATCATGGCGATGTCGTTTCGGGAAATACGCTTTTCGCTGTTACTGACAAATTAATTTTTTTGCGCCATCAATTCCGTGATTTGCTAGGTCCGATGTCAAACGGCATCCAGCCAGGGAAATAACGGAAATCTACAAATTCAAGGATAAAATTATTACAGAATTTGAAATAAAGCGCGCAAATACAGCGCTATAAGTAAGAGGAAAACACGCCATAAAAGTTTGAGCGCACATTTACTATAACTAATAAGAGAAAAGTTCCAGCCAGTTGGGTCCATAATGCCTGATTATGTATATGTAAAGTTTACACATCGCCTCCTGGACGGTTCACATATTTCGCCTGAAACAACGAAAAAAATATATAGAGAGTCCAGACAAAGCATTTATGTTTCTCCTTGATTTATATTATCCGGTAGGACGATAATAAGTGTCGGCAAAATAAACGCAGAGACGATGCACTACAATAAGGAGCGGATGTAGAGCATTATTCGATAATTACGGAAGCTACGTGAACAAAATGAAAGTAACTTTCGGACAATGTTAGCAGATAGTTGGTGAAACTGAATCGTTTTCGAATTGCAATCGTATGTGATTTTGTTAGTCGATTTATGGTTTTCGTGTCTGCAGATAAATCAAGAAAAGTTTTTCGCGCTAATCTGGAATCTTGTGTTTGGCAACAATAGAAAGAGCCAGTCAGTTGATAAGAATCCATCGGGTCAGTCGAGTTGCAGAAGCCCCGTTTTCCAAAATTGATTGAACTGATTGGTTGACATTCGATTGCCGTTCTGATAAGATTTGACGAAAATTATTTAATAGAAAAACCAAAGGTTGCTCTTCCAATTTTGCAATCTTGAAAAAAAATGTGCTTGGATTAAAATGAACTGAGAACCGATTGTCTTCAACAAAATTCGCTAAAAGTAAAACAGGAAGTTTTTAAAAGATGCCGAGACTTCAAAAAGAGATTCATTCGAGTTAAGAGCAGAAAACTTAAATCCGAACTAGTTAAATAATTCCCGTACTATGAATATCCGAGTACGCGAAAACTGCACTTTCTATCAACTTTACGA